ATTTCTATTAGATTTTGGGTTTACAATAGGAAATACGGGTGTGTACAACCAAACATTCCCTACAACATTTCCGTAATAACCCATTTGGCGCAGTATCAAAGGCTGTATCTGGGAGCTGCTTTTTACACTTTCCGCAGCGCCCCATTTTTTTATAAACGGATTGTAAAGAGTTTTACAACAGAGGAGTAGTTGTAGTTGTTATTCCCAAAATGGATAATGGACGTATGTTTAAGGAGCTGGCTGTAGAGTTAGTAGATACATTGAACGTTCTAGAATATAGTCGATATCTTCCATTTTCACCCACATACGGTTTGTACATTACAGTTTTATAACCTAATACAGGTAAACGGATATGTAAACTCGCAGACAGGACATATTTTATGCACGCTTCATTCTATTAATACCTATACATCTGCAAATACTTGCTTTTTAACAATCATACATAATTCAGACTATATCCTTATATTTACATCCATCAAGCATTTATTCAGTTGGTAATAGCCTGCATTCCTGAATTTACCTCTGCAGTGCGTTTATTTACTCTGTAATAGTCTGCATTCCTGAATTTACCTCTGTAGAGCATTTTTTCGGTTCCGCACCATACCTCTGTAGTGCGTTAATTCGGTCCGTAATAGCCTGCAAGCCGGCATTCCTGAATTTATCTCTGTAGAGCGTTTTTTCGGTTCCGCGCCATACCTTTGTAGTGCGTTAATTCGGTCCGTAATAGCCTGCAAGCCTGCATTCCTGAATTTACCTCTGTAGAGCGTTTTTTCGGTTCCGCGCCATACCTCTGTAGTGCGTTAATTCGGTCCGTAATAGCCTGCAAGCCTGCATTCCTGAATTTACCTCTGTAGAGCGTTTTTTCGGTTCCGCGCCAAGATGTTCGAAACCTTATTACGACAGTACTATATAGACTGCCTACCTAGGTACGTACGTATACTAGAGTACCTACAAAAATCGTGACCCCGCGCGTTACAGCAATTGCAATTGCACGGTAACGGCAAATTCCATTTCCATCTGTCTAACTAAGTATGTACATAGGTAACTCCCTAGGTAGAGTATACGTACCAAGGTACCTAAGGTAGGTAGGTACTTTTTTTCCTACTCTATACTTTTGCTTATTGGGGGGTTTTTTTTTTTTAGGGACTGCTGGTTTACATTTCAGCTCCCAATGGCCAGTGCTGCTAAGTTATAAAAGGTTCTGCTGGGCTGCAGCGTATACGGAGTAGGTAGGTACCTACCTTACTAATTATAAGGTTACCTACGTAACGTAACTCCATGGATGGATGGTGTTTCGTCCGTCATCAAGTGATTGACAATCTGCGGGCGTCTGATGGGCATATGTTTCGTAAGCGGGGAGCTCAGAATGCTGGATTTGGATTTTGGATTTGGGTTTTAAATTTTTGGATCAGGTACTCGAGTACCTAAGGTATATATTTTTCCGTAAATGCCCCATCCCATCGGGGGGTTACAACTCCTGCAGCATAAGTACTCTAGCACCGCCGATTGAGTTCCCTACAAGTAAATCTCGGGGGGGTGAGTGAGTGAGTGAGTGGCGCCTTCAATACCTACTCTACCTAATAAAAAAGAACCCCCCCACCCCCCCCACCCCATGTCTCCATCATGAGTGAGGCTCCGCATCATGCGTGGCCGGCTGGCCCAGCTGCAGAGTGAGACAAAAAAAAAAAAAAATGAAAATGCGGCTGCACAGAGGTAAGTACAGGGGCAACGCAACGCAACGCAACGCAACGCAACCCCTCCCTCCCTCCCTCCCTCCCTTTCCTTCGGGCTCGCCCGCCAGCCCCCTGTATGCATGCATGCATCCAACACACATGTACGAGTAGTGTCCCAGTAAGAACGAGCAGAGTATCTGACGATTTTTATGGGGAGTTGGAGTCGGGGGAAGGAAGCTTTAGAGTATATCAGCCCACCCTGGCCCACTGGATTTTGTGGAAAGGTCGTTCTTTTGGAGAGGTCACGGATTTGAGTACCTTTCGCCAGGAGAGTACATTTCGACGGACACGCACGCACGACCCTGCACGACAATCCTTTTTTTCTTTTTTTTCTTTCAGGTTCGATTGCGGTACACAGACAGTATTTTGGCTTTACATTTACTTGGCAGGGAGTGGGTGAGTGAGTGAGTGAGTGTATCGTGCACAGCATCAGCTTTACGAGCAAGAGAAGGGCCTTGGAGAAGAGCTCGGGCATCGACCAAGAGATACTTTAGGAACCCGCAACAATGTCCGCCCAAACAGATGTCGACTACAGAGGCGGCCTCTGCGCCCTCTTCCACCACCACACGGCCGCCTACGCCAACAAACTCTACGCCGTCGGCGGCAACGCCTGGCAGACCCTCCCCGCGCGCTACAACACCAGCTACCCCCCGCAGGTCGCCGACTCGTACATGCGCATCCTCGACTTTACAAAGTCCGTCGCAGACATCTCAAAGACAGTCGTCGAGACCGCCGTGCGCATCCCGGACACAGTGCCCCGCACAAAGTACGGCATCTTCTTCGCCACGCCCGCCGGCGCGCTCAAGTACTTTGCCGGCCAGCCGGAGCACTGGCCCGTGCGCAGGGACAACTTTGAGAGCGCGCCCAACCCGGAGGGAAGGCCGGATCTGGCGAATAAGATCTGGACGTACGACGCGGGGGGTGCGCGGTGGCTGGCGGCGGCGGACTCGCTGAACGGCGGGTTCAACGAGCAGGTGCCTGCCGTGGAGGCGACGTATGCGGTCGATGACAAGACGGGCAAGGCGTACATCGTCGGCGGCACGAGCTGGACGGACTACGCGGGGTACAATGTCGGCGCGCCGGGGTCGACGAGCTCCGTCAACATGACGTGGTACCCGCTCGCGATCCCCGAGGCCGCGGCGGCGAATAAGCTCAACGGGCTCTCGGTCGTGTTTGACCCCTCCGCCGGGAGCTTCACGCAGCTGAAGCGGTTCGCGGCGGCCGGGGACGGGAAGATGGTCGGGCTGCCGGCGTCGACGGTGCCGTTCCAGGGCTTCTACCAGAAGCTGATGGTGCACATCGAGTGGGGCGGCAAGAAGCTGCTCGTGGTGTTTGGCGGCGCGGCGGCGACGGCCATGAAGGAGGCGTACGTGCACGACATCGATGCCGGCACGTGGTTCTACCAGACGCTCACGGCGGAGCTCGACGTGTTCCCGCTGCCGCGGCGGGCGTCGTGCGCGGTCGCGGCCGCGGCGAGGGACGGGTCCAGCCAGAACATCTACATGTTTGGCGGCTCGGACGCGGGCGACGGCCAGACGGCGTACAGCGACGTGTACATCCTGACGCTGCCGGCCTTCCACTGGGTGTTTGCGGGCCAGGCGCCGGCCGCGCGGATGTACCACACGTGCAGCATGCTGCAGGAGCGGTACCTCGTCAGCTACCGCGGGCTGCCGCGGCGCGAGCGCTCGGCGACCGAGAACTTTCCGTGCACGGAGGCGCAGGGCCTGCTGATGCTCGACATGCAGTCGCTGGAGTGGACGACCAAGTACGAGTACGCCGACGCGCCGGCGCCGTACGCCGTGCCCGAGAAGCTCTACAAGGTCATCGGCGGCGGCGCGGGGGGCGGCGCAAACGTCACCGCGCCGCGGGGGAAGTTCTCCGACGACAACCTTGCGGCGCTGTTTGCCGCGCCGAAAGCAAGCGGCACCGCGACGGGCACGGGCCGCCCCACCGGCACGCCTTCCCCCGGAAACGGCACCGATCACAGCGGCGGTGGTTCCGACTCCTCCGGCGCGCCTGTGGGCGCGATCGCCGGCGGCGTCGTCGGCGGCCTCGCAGTCCTCCTCCTCCTCATCCTCCTCGCATTCATCCTCCTCCGCCGCCGCAAGGCCCAGCAGCAGCAGCGCGCCGCGGCCGGCGAGCTCTCCGCCCAGCTTCCGCAGGAGGACTGGGCCCGCCAGCACCCCCCGCTGGAGCTCGAGAGCCCTGCGGTGGCCACGGCGATGCGGGAGCATTACGGCGGCATGAGCGAGCAGGAGAAGCGCGCCTCCGGGATGGTGCCGCCGCCGCCCACGTACAACCAGACCTCGGACCCGCACGAGCTCGGCGACCGGAACGATTACAGCTACGGGGCTAGGGAGATGGATGCGGGGAACTACGGGGAGCTCCCTGGGTCAACGGTGCCGGGGCCAAGGCCACAACACTCAGGGTGAGTACACCATTGCACTTGCAAACCCATACACATACCTACATACATACTTTATAAATACACATGCATCCATGTGGAGGGGCCGCGGGGCAATTGTGTTGTCTTGCAACTGTCTAGAAGAAAAGATTAAAGAAATTTTCAAGCCAGCTCCGGTGTTTTTTGGGATTTATTTTTTTATTTTATTTTTCACAATCTGGTGGTTTTTTTTGTGCATTATACTGAGGTTTTTTTTCTTGTTTCTCTTCGGTTTCTATATAGTTCCATGATTGGGGGGGTATATGATGATCATAATGTTAATTGGAGGGCCGGGGATGGAGGGAGGGGGGATTACATGCAAGTCAATGAGATTGGGGGTTGAGCTCTATAGATACCTACCTAGGTATTTGGGATCGACTGAGCTCGGAGGAGGATGGTTGATTAATTGGGACTTTCAAATTGACGGAATGAGTACGTACGTACCCGTCGTTTTTTTTTTTTCTTTTCGGTGGCCATGGATGTACATGTGGCCGAGAGAGGGAGGGATTATCCTTTTTTTTTTTTTTTTTTTTTCTTGGAAACTTTATATCTTGGGCTTCTTTGTTCTTCAGTATTTCTTTTTTTGTTTCTAAATATCATTAATCGATACCTACCTACCGAAACCTAATTCTTCACTCTATACCATCTATTATTCCACGAACTCGACTTGCCCCATGGAATTGCAAATTAATAGTTCAAGTATCCGTCCGCACCACAACTCCAACTTAAACTCCGAAAAACATATGCATCGTTACCCTCACCCCCACCCTCAATCAACAAAAAGACCAAATACCAAAGCCAAAAAAAAAAAAAAAAAACATTTTTGGAGACAGTGGGAATCGAACCCACGACCGTCTCAATTTTCAACCAAAGGAGGAGGAGGGGAGGGGTCGAAACACCACCACCACCCACCAAATTGCAAATGAGAAATTATACCACTAAACCATATCCCCAATTCATGTCGTCTTGCTCAATCGAGACATCATGGATCCCAAACGTTCCCTCGTATACTCCGTACATCGATCTCTTACTTATCCGGGGAATTCGAATGATCAAGAGTCTAATTTTTTTTTCTTTTTTTTTTTAGGTTCCTCGTCGGTCGGTAAGTGGGAGGGGATTTTGGTTTAGGACTCATGGGTATAATTATAAGTACATACAAACATAACATTTGATCTAGCTGGCAAAGATGATAGATACGTTTTCAATTGCAATTTTATAAGGGCATGCGTGCGTGCGCAGCGCTAGCTCAGTCATGATCATCAGAATCAGAAAAATTGGAAATCTCAGGGTAACTACATCTAGGTAATCTAAATACTCCCGCTACATTCACGGAAATTTAAATTTTTCACCAGGGATTTAAATTTCCTATGTAAACACTCAACAATGTACGTATACGTAAGTATATATACATACATTAGGTAAGAAGAATAATTATAATCTCAATTCCGATCGACAAGATACTATAGCTAAATTTAATTCCACTACTCAAAAAGTTCAGTCGAATTTAACTTGCAATTGTGAATTAAACTAAACTTCACCAGAAACTATATATACGTATATACCCGAGAAAAAATTTTAAATCAATTGCAATATTATATACATGGTCATATTTATAATTGTTCCCTAGGGCTATTTTCGAGAAAAATTATTGATCAGGTGAAAGGAAATGAATGAATGGATGAATGAGGGTCCAGACTAACAACGTCAAGCTCTGCGGGGAGGGGGGGGGGGCTGCTCTCCAAATCTTCCTCCTCCTCCTCCTCCTCCTCCTCCTCTTCCGTCGAAACCCTACCCTCATCTACGCACTCCGCGCCTGTCTGCTCGCCAACAAATCCAAACAAGCAAAAGCAAACTTATACTCCTCCTCCTCCTCCACCACCTCCGCGACGAACTCCACACACCAATCTCACTGCTATCCTTCATGCTCGCGCGGGGAGACAAGCTCGGAGCTCGGCGGAGAAGAAAGATGCTTCGTTTCGTTTGGCTGCGTTTGGGGCGGTCCCGCGTACAGAGCGTGGTCGGACAGATTTAGGTATCCGTCTCGAACGCCATTAAATTTTCGTCGCAATAGAAGGGTGGTATTTAAATTTCCCCGTTCCGTGGGCAATAATTAGGTACTTCTTTGTGAGCGGCAATGCGGATTATTATTCGTCGTTTGTCGATGTTGGATGAATACCTGTACTCAAGTAGTAGTCTAGTTTGCCTGGTTAAAATTGAAGGTGAAGGTGAAGGTGAAGGAACGCTGGCCATCACTTTAGGTAGGTAGATATCGATACGTTGCTTGTGTGTTGTGTCTTGTGTCGATCGATCTGGGTATTGTAGATTTTTTCGTTTACGGCGTAACTACCTACCTAAGTTGAACCACAATTATATTTTAAATATCTCCTCAGTAGCTAAGACACTGACGCCGACCATTGTGTCTTCTGAGTACCTAGAATGCGCATGCAGCTGCTTGAGGATTGAGGACCCAGAAGTTTTGTGAAATTTAGAGTAGAGGCCTGAACTTGAACTTGAACCCAGCCTACTTGGATAGAGAATAGAGAGGTGTATGTATGGTGGAAGTGAATTGCAATTGTATCACGCATTCACCTCTAGATCTATGGTGAGGCAGATGTGTCTGTACATGTCAAGTATCTAGAACCCCGTTTAGCAAACCCCGTACGAGGTTCTGATTCCCCCCGTTACCGTTACGGGGTTTTCCACCCCCCCCCGCTCCCCCGCTCACAGCAATATCAATATCAATATTAATATTCATTATTTCTATGGCAAACAAAGCCATACGAAATAACTACATACTTACATACCTAGCTCAAAACCCCGATTTTGCACCATGGGGAGCTCCCTACGTTAACGGTTTTTGGCGGGGGCCTAGATCTTTTATGCAAATTTAATTTAAATAGACCTAAATTTGCAAATCATTGTTTTGCGTTTTTGGGTTTTACTTTTTTATTTTTTTTTGATAATTTATCTTATAATTATAATTATAATTACATTCCGACTCATGACTCATGACTCATGGTTATATATATAGAGGGTGTAGATTTATATGTCTGGAATTAAATTCCGACTTGTGTACGTACTGCTATTGCTATCGATCCCAATTATTGTTATGGGGTACGGAGGGGGGGGGGGGGGATTAACGGGGTTTCTCCAAAAGCGATTAACTACTCTAATCCTTCGATTTGAATTTCGGATTCTGGATGAATGAATGAATGAATACATGCATCATGAGACTAAATGAAATGGGCCTTCGAGAATGTATGTTGTGCAACTGATCATGCATCTGACAGTATATATGTAAGGCCCGATATGTGCTATAGGTGTAAACTTTAGTGAATTCATGATCGATGGTCAGAAACATCGTGGGATCGAGAGACAAGTCTCGATTAATATTCTCACCGTGCCATACATCGTGTTGGGTTTCTCTTTTTTTCTTTCTTCCTTCATTCCTTACTTCACTATATACATGTATAGGATATATATCGATTATCCCGTCCTGGATTCACACTCTCCCCCACATTCACATTCCTCACTCACTCACTCACTCTCCCCACATTCCTCACTCTGAATATTAAAACTTTAAATGATCATGAATTCGTTCTGCAGCTGCATCGATATCGCGATATCTAGGCCTAGGTAGTTGTGGCCCGCCGTTTTATATACACATACATACACACACACACACACACACACACACACACACACACACATATATAATCTTGGTATACATACATACTATGGGTACCTGGGTACCTAATTCATTGATTGATACATCGTATCCTACCTAGAATATCCCGTCGCTCGCTCCCAACCATCGAACTCCAACCGGATATAACGACGTCATGATCAATCAATCACTCACGTGGCGCCTCTCCTTTTTTCCTTTTTTTTTTATTTTTTTTTATGTGAACGACGTTAGTCAGGTAACCCTTATAATTCGTTATTTAGTATACTAGGGTTTCAACCGAAAGATCTAGATCTAGATCTAGAAGTACCTATATACATAGGTATATATATATATATATATATATATGGGAAAGAGGCAATTGTAGTTTAATTACAATTACAATTACAGGTTCGAATTCAGGTACGTATACGCTCTAGATCTATAGATTTTATCATGCATACGTGATCTTGCAATGATGTTCCTGTAGCTATAGCTATAGCTATATGTAGTCTCATTTGAACCAAGAGTAAAGAATCAATCTTAACCTTAACCTTAAGCCGAAGTTTGATTCCAAATGTAAATTAACTAGCTTGTGGCACTCAATACGCCAAATATATACATACATACACAATTATAACCCCCCCCCTATCCCCCCCCAAAAAAAAGAAAAAATAGAAAACAAGAGAGAGAGGAAAGAAAACAAAAACAAAAGGCTATATATATAAGTATATAGCTGGCAAAAGTAGTAAGTAGTAGTGGAAATAAATAACCCCCCCCCCCAAAAAAAAAAAAAAAAAAATGGGTAAAAATTCTCTCGATTCCACCTTAAGCTTCTTCTTCTTCCCCCTCCTTCGATGACCCTCGTTATAACCCAAAATTTAGACTTTGACTTTGACTTCGACTTCGGCATGGCATGCATCTCGAGCTCGCCCAAACCCAATTGCAAACCACAACCACAACCACAACCCCAACCACATAATTCCACCCATCAATTACTTACTTACCTACCTAGGTACCTACCTACCTATCCCCCATAAAAAAAAATAAAAAAATAAAAAAATAAAAAAAATCAATTATAATCATGCTCATGCTCATGCACATGCACATATATATGGCCATATTAGTAAGTTAAGTTAAGTAAGTTAAGTAAGTAGGGTGCTTCCTCCGCCATACGCCCTAGGGATGCATATGCTTTACTTCAAAAAAAAAAAAAAAAAAAAAAAAATCATCCTCCTCTTTAGATATTCCGTGCCCCCAGCCAACACCCCCCAAAAATGTAAAATGTTCCTCTCCCCCCCTCCCCCCCTCCCCCCCCCCCCCCCCCCCCCTTCATGTCCGTGGATGATTGATGAAGTTAGACTTACGCTTCCCTCCCGCGATTTATCCAGGATGTCTGGACGTCCCGGTACTAGGCCTCCCCCCCTGTGAGGTACCCGTAGTATCCGTATACAGCTCCCCCGGATACATCTGGCCCTGCTGCGGCGCCACCGCGTTGGCGTAGGGGTCTACCTGCGCATCTCCATTCCTACACCCAGAAAAAAAATTATAATTAGCACCCACTCTCAGGGGGGGGGGGGGGGGGGGGGGTATTTTGATATATCCCAAAACTATAGCTATTCAAGGTAGTAAGCACTCACAGGCCGTTGGGATGGTAATGCTCCATCACCGTCTTGTTACTCGCGGTTGTGTTGTCTAGCTCGCCCACCGGCACCACGGGGGGCTGGCCATGGTACTGCTGAGGATATCCCGCCCCCCCACCACCGGCATACATCCCCATCCCCCCCTGCTGCTGGTCAGTGTACCCCCCCCCCGCGGGCACGGGCAGCTCGGTCGGGTACGCGTGATGCATCGGCGCCGCCAGCTGGGTCCGCCGCCGCCGTCTGCGGAGAAGGATGAATGCGAGGAGGATGATGAGGAGGAGTGCGATGCCGCCGACGACGCCGCCTGCGATTGCGCCGGTGGGGGTTTTGGAGGAGCTGGAGTTGGGGGCGGAGGTGCCCGTGGGTTTGGGGCCGGAGGTGCCGCTGCCGCTGGGGGTGGTGGTGTCGGGGAGGACGGTGGGGGGGTCCCATTTGTAGAGGGCGGCGAGGGAGTCGCTCACGAAGCCGGATTTGGGGGTGAGGAGGGTTGCGCCGCCGGTTGCGCTGGAGGGGGGGGGTAATGCGGTTAGCACACTATATAAAGATGAAGATATGTGGATATATAGAGGAGGGGGTGACATACTTCCCGCCAATCACGGCCGAGATCTTCTTTGGCACCTCGTACTTTCTGTCCACGACATACTTC